CCCCAGGGGCCCCAGGGGGCCCCCCGATGCCCCGCAGAACCCTTTTTGCAGCAGGAGCTTCTGGAGTCCGCGTGGGAGTCTTTAGAAACTGCTACGAAAGTAGCAGCAGCAAATAGAAGCCCCGCAAGACAGGCTATGGATGCCTTTGGACAGTTTGTTGCTGCTCCCTTCTTTGCCCCGCAGCAGCTGCTGCAGGCCCTGGGGGCTCTCAAGGCGAAGTACCTGCAGGGGGCCCCCCGGGGGGAGGAGTGGGAGGCTGAAGAAGAAGCAAAAGGAGAACAAGAAGAAAAAGAAATTAAGAGAAAAGAAGAAAAAGAAGAAATTAAACGACAAAAAGAAGAAACAGAAAAGGGAATTCAAAGACTCTACAAAGATCTCGTTGAATGGGGAAGAAACGCCTTCCACCAAGTCCACGTAGAAGGCCTCATACAGGTGACCCCCAGCTCCTACTGGCTAGCTAGCTAGCTAGCTAGCTAGCTAGATAGATAGACAGATAGATAGATAGATAGCCAGCTAACCAGCTAGCAGCTAGCAAGCTAGAATCTAGCTAGGCTAGCTGCTAGCTAGCTGCCAGCCACTGGCTGGCCAGCGGCTAGCCGACAGCTACCGAGCAGCTAGCTGGCAGCTACGTGGCAGCTAGGGGGCAGCCCACCGCTGCTGCTGCTGCTGCTGCTGCTGGTGGCTGCATAGTGCGTTGTGTGGGCTTATTTGGGTGGTTTTTTCAGGGCAACATAGAGGCTTCTTCTGCTGCTGCTTTGCTGTCGGACATTCTCGATTTGCTGCCAATAAAAAGCACTATAAGTGCAGCAGCAGCAGCAGCAAACCTGCAAGTGCTGCCCCTAGAGGCCCTCAGCAGCCCCCGCCCAGAGGCCCCCGCCCGGGTGCCGCTGCACACCCGCAGCGCCCCTGTCCGGCGTGTGGGGCAGCAGAGGCCTTCAGCAGCAGCAGCAGCAGCAGCGGCAGCAGCAGCAGCAGCAGAGGGGGCCTCCCAGGAGGCAGGGGCCCCGAGGGCCCCTGAGGGGCCCCCTGCGGGGGCCGCTTTGGGTCTTCAAACGGGGGCCCCTGGGGTACTTCACGCGGGGGCCCCCGGGGGGCCCCCCGAGGGGGCCCCTCTGGAGAGTTGGGGGGCCCCAAGGGCAGCAGCAGAAGCAGCAGCAGAGCAGCAGGGGCCCCGCGAGTCTTTGGCGGAGACAGAAGAAGAAGAAGCAGCAGCAAAAGAGAAGACAAAAGAAGATCTTCAAGAAAAAAAGAAAATTCCAAAGAGACTTCAAATCATCAAACGAAATGTCAACCCCTACGACCCCAAGAACCACACACTTCTCGTGGTCCAGGTGCGCAGCAGAGTGGCTAGCCAGTGGCTAGCTAGCGGCTAGCTAGCGTCTGGCTAGCGGCTAGCTAGCGGCTAGCTAGCGGCTAGCTAGCGGCTAGCTAGTGGCTAGCCAGCGGCTAGCCAGCGGCTAGCTAGTGGCTGGCTAGCCGCTGGCTAGCGGCTTGCTAGTGCTTAGCCAGTGACTCGCTAGCGACTAGCTGGTGGCTAGATAGTGGCTAGCTAGCGGCTAGCTGGTGGACAGCTAGTGACTAGATAGTGGCTAGCCAGTGGCTAGCTAGTGGCTAGCTAGTGGCTAGCCTGCCTGCTCCCTCTCTAGCTAGCTAAGATCAGATTTGTCTCTAGAGCAGTCTCGAGACTCACGCAGCAGCAGCAACAACGGCACGAGCAGCAAATGCACAGCAGCCCCAGGGGCAGCAGCAGCAGCAGCAGCAGCAGCCACAGCAGCCTTCAGAGCAGCAGCCTGCACCGCAGCCACAGCAGCCACAGCTCCAGCCACAGCAGCAGCCACAGCAGCAGCAGCAGCAACCGCAGCAGCAGCAGCAGCAGCAGCGAGAGTCTGTGTGTGTTTGTCAGGCTGGCAGCAGTTTGTCTCTGCGTGAAAAGGCACTTTTGTATTTGGCAGTGCACGAAATGTCTCAGTCGTTTTTTAACGTTTTGAGGACAAGAGAACAGTTGGGGTATTCTGTTCAAATGGGAAGTTTTCGATTGGAGGACTTTTTGTATTTTTTCTTCAAAGTTACTTCGCCAGTGGACCCGCAGCAGGTGCTGCAGCGCATTCGGCACTTCCTGGCATCAAAAAGGAAAGTTTTGCTGCAGCAGCAGCAGCTGCTGCGCCTCAAAGCAGCAGCAGCAGCACGCTGGCGCAAACAGCCAACAGCTCTTCTCGGCGACTTCGCCAGAAATCTGCAGCAAATCCGCAGAAGAGAATATCTTTTCGACTTGCACGAACTTATTGTCCAAGAAATCGAGTCAGCTGCTGCTGCTGCTGCTGCTGCTTTGCTGTTGCTGCTGCAGCAGCGCGTTCCTCTGCTGCTGCTGCAGCGGCAGCGCGACGTGCTGCTAGGACCCACACAGCTGCGGCAGATGCTGCGGATCACAGTGGTGCTGCTGCTGCTTATGCCGCTCCCGCTTCTGCAACTGCTGCTGCTGCTGCTGCTGCAGTTCGCTGCTTCCTTGCTGCTTGGGTGTTGTTTGTTGCTGCAGGAAAGTTGGAATGGGCGAAATGGAAGCTTTTAGAGAAAAGGCTCTTTTTGGGCGCCCCTCTGTTTCAGTCAAGGTGTACAGCCAGTTCGAAGTTCCCAAAGAGGGGCCCCTCAGGGCCTAAACCTGCAGCAGCAGCAGCAACAGCAGGAGCAGCAGCAACAGCAGCAGCAGTAGCAGCAGCAGTAGCGGCATTAGCTGCAGCAGCAGCTGCAGCAGTAGTAGCAGCAATAGCTGTAGCAGCAACAAAAGCTGCACCAACAGCACTAGCAGTAGCTGCAGGAGCAGCAAGAGCAGTAGCTGCAGCAGCAGCAGCAGCGGCAGCAACTGCTGCTGCTGCTGCTAAGGTCTTGGTAACTCAACATCTTAGGTGAAACCCAATGCGGCCCCAAGCAGAAGAGGGGCCCCCAGCTGAATTTAGAGGCCCCCTTTGCTGCAGAGACAATATGCTTGTTTTTTAATTTAGATTTTATTTCATTTGCTTGGCGATGAACTTGCTGCTGCTGCTGCTCTTGCTGCTGCTGCTGCTGCTGAAGGCCTGGCTTGTATGCAAGGCACATAACTGCGCCACGAGATGCACACAGCAGCAGCATACGAACTAGCTACAGCTAGCCACGGCTAGCTGCAGCTAGCCACAGCTAGCTACACCTACCCGCGGGTAGGTTTTCAGCCGCAGCTAGCTACAGCTAGCTAGATCTAGCCATAGCTAGCTAGAGGTAGCTAGAGCTAGCCATAGTTAGCTACAGCTAGCCATGGCTAGCTACAGCTAGCCATGGCTAGCTACAGCTAGATACAGCTAGCTACAACTAACCACAGTTTCTTTTAGGAGCTTCTTAGTGTGGGAATCACCAGCTGGGGACGGAGCCTGGAGGAAACAGCCCACTTAAGACACTAATCGGGCCTGCATGCGCATGCATGCAAACCCCATGCGCACGCATGCGCATGCATGCAAGCCCCATACGCATGCATGCGCATGCGCACTGCA